ACAAGCAAGCGCCCTTCCGAGTTGCCTCAGCCCAAACTGCAGCTGAACTGCAGTCGCCGCCAGTGTACATGGGCTCAGAACAGATGATATCCCAGTGCTTAAAAACGAGTTGACATCTGTATCTACGGTTGAACGTGAATCTCCGAGTCGTTCTATACCGTGTCTTCTACATACCTTCGTTTGATTCACTCAAAATCATTTTCAGTGCGTTGACAAGCGGCTCGTAAAGTGTTTCTGCAACCATTCCCGACTGGATCGGGTGCTCGAAGCCCTTGCGGACAGCATCAAGATTGCGATAGCATGATTGTCTGATATCGCGACTCTCGCACGTCCGCAAGCGAAGGTCTCGCGCAGTTCCGCGAAGTCCATCTGAAACGACACCATTATGTTCCAGGAGAACTAGATTCGGTATATTACTGGCGAGAAGGGTGAAATGAGGTTCCCGAAAGGCATCCTGTCGCCAAGTGCGAATCCGTTGCGCATCAAGGAGTTCTTGCGGGACGATAGGACTGATTGAACACTCCTCCTGGAGCACGAGGGCGTCAAAAAGCTCACTGGCTGCCTGTATAAACGTCTCCATGTTCTGGGGCTGATAGAGAGGGCCTGCATCGGCTCCCAGTTGCCAGGCAGGGTAAACTAGTCCTTGAAGCAGCGTGGTTGTCGATAGCGCTCCGTGGACGCATAGGAAGAGAAGGACAACTCTAAGTACATCCCACGTTTCAAGCGTCAATCCTAGCACTTCACTTTTTCCAGTACCGAGAAACCATTGGAGTACGTCATTATCGATACCGCCAGGAAGGTGGTGGTCAACATTAAGTAGAAATTGACCATAGCGAAGTGCGTATGTGTGACGAAGCTCGTGATCTTCGCTCATGATGGGAACTTGGCGTAACGAAGCAACAGTATTGTCCCAGACTTTCCATGCCCAGTCTCCGGACGTACGATATCTGTACCAGAGGCTGTTTGCGAGAATCGATGGAGCGTCCGGCTTGGGATCTTCAGCTAGAAGTAAGATTTCAGGCATGACTGACGGAACGGCTTCTGGATGTTCTGTCTTAGGAGCCAACGCGTGTGTAAACGCCGCGATGTCATTGTCCACCTGAGTTTTGGCCGTCGCATCTAGCTGTCGTCCGTTGTCCATCTCAATAATCAAGGTCAGGAGAGATCTGGTTTTCCCCCCTTGCGTTCGCCAGAGCAAATAAGTAGAATAGAGCGTGGAAGTAATCGTGCCAGTGACGTTCATTGCCGTCCATATAGTTGCGAAACGGTGGAAAACTTCCCCGATGGCGGTCAATAATTCTGCGTGGGTTGTCTGGGACAAGATCGAGAGACTCAGCTGCGTAAGAGCCGTCAATACTTCAAAATTTGAAAGGAATAGAACACACCTCCAGTAAGGAGCCATAGCTATGAGTGTAACTTAAAAGTTCAACCGCCGTACTGTATGTCTTCAGGGTACTGATCTCATCTAATGATTGCGATCTGCGCGCTCCATCAACACAGCAAAAGAAGGATTTAATCTTGCGCACCTCGAGGTAAATTTGTGTAAATTTGGAAGTAACCACTGTTTGATTGTTCGCACTTGCTCAAAACATGGTGCGCCAAGTACAGTAGGACAGCTGGTTTGGAGAGATGTCATAGAAACTGAAGGCGGAAGGGTGTCCCCTATTATCCATTAGCAATAGAAACCAAATGAAAATGTTGGTCCTACATACCACCAAACACAAGTGGCAAGATTGCGCGGATTTCCCTTCGCATTTCACGTTCACAAACATCTTCAGGGGTTTGTCGTGCACGCGCTCCGTAGACCATAACTTTGCGCTGATTTGAAAGAGATGATGTCGTGTTATGTAACGGTATCCAGCGAAGGAGGTTACGATGAAAGGAGGCTGTTTCGTCAGGCTATAGGACATTTTGAGTCAGAGAACAATGTCCATATGACATACAATATACCTCGCTCAAAGAAAGACCCTCTTCGCCTCTCGCAACGAGTCTCTGCACATAAGCTGCGTAGTCAAAGAGCCCGCTCTTCATTAATTTGCCGAACAGACCCGCTACTGCCCTAAGATTGCCAGCCTCCCGGACAACAGGTTTGGAGTCGAGCCAATCGAAGAGATAATCGTGAAGGGTGGCTGAAGATAGTTCGCGGCGTGCGTTGCGTTCATGATATGCTCGGAGAAGGGTCACAGCGGCATATGGACGGTGAGAGCCATACTGCAGTGACGTCACAGCCCACGTTAACAAAGTGTCGAGTTTGTCGACAAAGCTTGAGCTTGAATCAGGAACTTGAGAAGAGAAAAACGATATAGTGGACATGTCCGTGCTACTGCAGATTGAATTTAGAATTTGAATATCAACAACCAGGGACCCAAGACGCTCGAGTTTTCGCGGTGGGAGATTGCGAAATAGCATGGCGTCATTGCGACGCTGAATATCTCTAAGATTATCTGAAATCAACTGTTGGAAATCACGTCGTCGACAGTCACTAGGGCCATTATCAGCAGGGCCCGCAAGTGCAGAACACAAGAGCAATGAGTGCGCTAGCCATGTTCTGGGAGAAACAAATGTGTCCGGAAGGGCTACACAAATGCGCTGATGTTGAATTTTTAAGTGTGTGATAGTAATGCGGAGGTTGATGCATACCTGAATCAGAAACTTCAGAATCTCTTCAAGTTTGTTCAGGTGGCCCTGAGCAGAAGTCGTCCTGACCTGTAATGGTTAGTTATCAATGAATATGTGTGGTCATAAAACGTACTTCATTCAATTTCGCGATGCATGCGTCTAAAAGGGGTTTCGCGAGTGGGCGTTTTTCAAGAACTCCGTCAAGATACTCATCAGCCAAATGTGCTACAAATCCTGCTTGAGCAAGGTTGCAGGCTGCCATCTGAGAGACAATCCATGTAAGGAAAGTGCGATGGTCCACGAGACCTTCATCATAGAATGGTCGCAATAGTTTTAGGCTGACTTTGTTAGCGAATATTTAGATAGTTGAATCAAACACTGTACCAGTACGTGAAACGGGAGACCCATCGGTCCCGGCTTTCTGCATCAGAAAGGACGCCCTTAAATGTCTGTTTGATATTCATTCCAGGTCTAGGGGCGCTCGGTAGAGCAATGTCAGCAAGTTGTTTCTTGATATAACTCGTCACCACTATCGCCCAATCTACGCTGTACTGGGTGGGATTATAAGACGGTTTGTTTCTCAGACCAGCCTTTTATCATATCAATCACGCAGTTAAAAAATACTACATCATCACTCACAGTCTCGTTGGCGCCAAACACTCGAAGAAACCAGACTGCACGAGGTATGGCAACGTTGTTGGTATGAAGAAGGTCGAGTAGATCGTGCCCTTTGGCACCATGCGGCACACTTTTCCCAAGTTTACTTAAGGGCACATCGGGGTTTGCGAGTTCGGCGAACCAGGTCTGTCGCTTGGTATCGCTCATAGTCACTCGTGAAGGAATCTTGAATGCTGATGACCTAAAAAACCGTTGGAATAAGTTCGACGTCAAGATAATCAGCTCACTGTATAGTAAGAGCACTGTCTGCCTTTCGAGTGAAGATATCATTCATGAGGTGCTCGAGGTCTGCAAGCATGTTCTGATCGAACATGCGGCCATCCTTTTCATCCTGTTGTAAAAATGTGACTGCAGCGCTTTGGTGCTCATCCTAATCATCATCAGCCGTTGAACAATATCGATCAATCTCAAGCTTACAGGCACGGGAAGCGGCAACAAGAAACCATCCTTTATATGTTTGTCAGACAACACATCCTCATCCTGTCCTGGGCGGGGCGGATGAAAACCAGGGTACCCTAGAGATGCGTAAGAGTGATTCGTAGGATTCCTTAGGCAGTTGACGGTCTTACCGACATCAGCAGTCCTGTGAGACTTGGGTAGCCAGGGCGGAGGTAGAGACTCGTATATGGGTGATGGTGGTTCTTGTCCGCGCTTTTCTTGCTTCATATCCAGGGTATCTGCGATTGGTAAAATATACAATTAATGACAATGAGGTATGGACATGCTGGACGAGTGAAGGAGGGCGGTCAGCGTGTCACGGCTACAAATATTGATGAGCTCAGATGCGGCGGTATTAGGGCTATACTACAATTTTCAACACGTGATCACAATACTTATACCCAAGTATGTGAGCCAGATAAAAATTTCATTCATTCATTCCAACTCGATGTCAATCGGTGACACTCCTAGCACTAACAATTCCCTTGGGCCATTCAGGTATTCAGCGCTAAGTTCTTGGGCTCTGCAGAGAGCCAAAGAGGGTTGTCCATAATATAAAGTTAAACGCTTTACCACATTCGGGCTCAAGCTAGTGAGGACTGGTCAATGCCTTCTTCGAGTTACCAGCTGAGTTCTCTTTCGCTGTCACAGCACTTGATTTTGGAAAGGACTGTCGTACTGCCACCCGTTCCACCCAGTAACTTATAACTATAAGCTACTAGTATGAGATGCTATAAGGATTTATGGAACACTGGAATTCGAACTTTCAAATGTAGGCATCGGCCTCGTTCACCAGAAATCGATGCCACCTGGAATATATCTGGAAAGGGTGCATCGTTCGATCGTGTCCCATCGGCTACCTCCATGAAATTCCGATGTCAACCAACTCGGCTGAAGCAGTTTCTCCTTCCGAAGTCAAGTATTCGGACAACGTTAGTGGAAGTTCCATGGTATCCTTGAAATGCACCCATCTATTGCATTGTATGGTGGGCTTTTCTGTGCTTGTTCCAGCGTTAGCTCATATTTTTGTCGCGAAGCTTGGTTTGAGCAGTATATATGCATAAAACCTATGTTTCAAGAATTCTAAACAGTAGGCTGTATGCATTTTGGTAATTACTCTCAATCACCTGACGCGCATGCCACTGTGCCCTAACGTCCACATCTTGTATTTTCCATTAGCAACTGATGGGAGGAGACGAACGGGGGGAGGACAATCATACATCACGTCACAATGACGCCCCACTAGCAGAGCTCACAGGGTGTACCCCAGCTATGTGGTGATATCTAGATTTTTTCTTTTGATGTACTCATATGGCTGTGGCAAGGGCCTCTTAAAGTTGTGACTCCAAGGATCCAAGCACTATATATTTCGTGCTGGCAGCGTTTCTCTTCCTCCCATCTCTTTCCATCTCTTCATATCCTCATACCTACTTTCTACTGTGAATCCTCATGTCTTACAACATCCGTAAACTCGATCGAGCAGTCTTCGACGGAAGTCTGGCTGCACGTCTGAGCACTCTACATCATTTTCAATATGCTATGAACGAAATAATGAAATTTGATCACTTGGAAGACTGCGATTTGCAGCCCTATGGGGAAAAGGTCTCGTTTTTCTTATTGATCATCTCGTATAGTCAATTGATGATGTTATGTCCATGCAGATCATCACTCTGACGGAGGTAAAATGATTTCAATTCTGGCAAACACTCTCACTGATGCTCTTGGCAATGAAGATTGCACGCTGGACGCTTAAACAGAGGATGGGTGTGTCCCTGATCATGCTCTGTTCGAAGGAGCACGTGCCTTACAAGGCAGCTTACTTCAAATTGCTTGTCTGGATCAGACGCCGCAGGTCCGCATTCCCTACTAACATCGACGGTAAGCATTGGTCGTTATTGTGTTTCATTTCATTCTCACCATTTGTATAGATCGAATCAATTTGCTCTTGGAGGACATAAACCATCAAGTAGTTCTACGCACCAGGGGAATTGACCCTCGCGTCCAATTGGGCATTGAGGAATTGATCATCATCAAGGAACGACGACCAGACGCCTGCAATTCCTCGGAGGCCGTTTGTTAGCAAATTTCGAACGAAAGCTCAACGCTCTGAGGTTGGCACTAAGAAGTAATCGTCATCAATTTTGGTGTTCTTTACAAGCGTTCTTATCAGGATCTAATGGCTCGCTCGTTGTATTATGAATCACAACCCTAATCTGTGTCTAGTTGAAACATATTTATGTGCTCCGTAGTATTATATGTAGTGAAAGAAGTATCCCTTTTGCTATACGGCTGTTCTCCAAATTTTCGTATTTGTAATTGTTCTGTTGTCCTCGACTGCCACACCACTTGTTCTCAAGTTTGACAGTCGTCACCAGCTCACATGTCTTTTTTTTATCCTTGTCCATTGTCCTGTGAGGCGGTCCGGGGATAATGCTATTGTGCACACTGCCCTGTCTTCGTCTCCCCAATTTTCCTCTATCTGGTTTCTGGTTTCGAAGTTCCATATTCGGAGCGAGCTGTCGTACGAAATGATCATTTGTTATCCGCCTGGTAACTAGTGTATGGTGCCCGTGACTCCATAGCGGTGTGTCTTTTTAAAATTTCTGAAGAGGCGTTATTTCCTTCTTGACAGGGGGCGAAGACATACTGAAACAGTCAATTACCAACCGCTTGTCTCAGCTTTCATACATTCAATTCAAACGCCATCACTCACGAGCATAATAGCAGCGGCACTGTGGCAGGTGCATAATGGATGTTTCAGTCAAGTCAGAGTCGAGTTCTTCCATTGTATTTATTCCATAGCTTGAGTCAAGTTCCCATACTCTGAAAGTTCAGTGTTTCGTATAGTATATATTTCTTCATGCAATACCACTCTTGACAACGGTTCATGCTAATTATTCCGATAACCTAATTCCCTTGGTTGCCATCTCATATATTCATTTCTACTTAGAGAACATCAATTCATCGCTGGAATTGCCAGGTTGCAGGCGAACCACTCACAGGGCTTGTGAAAGAGTTCCTCGACCACCACGACTTGATAATCTCAATCAAATTGTAAGCATGACGCTTACCTGTGACGCAACTCATCTACCTATGATGTCAGACAATGACGTCGTGATTCAGACGTTCTGTGTATCTCTACCTGATTGGACACCGCTTGGGATGCTGTTCCCTATATATAGCTAACTACATTGTACTGACTAGATCATCGTACGATACCCCCTCTCAATCCATACGTTCATCCACTTTACTACTGTCTGACCGTCCGTCAGTGTTGTCGTCACACATCGACGACTTTACACAAATACAAGTTTATTTTGAACTTGTGGGTTATAGCAATATCAATAATGCCTTTGTCTGAATTCCTTTCCTGCCGATATCTGTGACGGACTCAAGCTGCAATCACTATCCTCACTTCTTTCCTATCCCTTGGTCCACCCCCAGCTCAAATAGCATCCAGCAGGAAAACCCTGTATGTATCCAACACCCTTGTCCACATTCACTCTGGCAAGGGACTCGGGCAGACAGCAAGGGTGGTCTCTGTCGAAATCGTCTTCCTCTTGGACATAGAGAACCCTATCCGCGCGATGATTAGTAACGGCGATGCAGTCTGTGTAGAAGAAAAAAAATTGAACCACACGCCATGGATAGCCTACTCTGCACCCACCGCAATTTGAGTCGCTGCTCCGACTCCAACGAGTCCCTCCGGTTTGTTTGCTGCATAGAGGGAAAACATAACCGCGGTACACGTTGTGATAAGGGCCCCACATTCGATGATGATGAGGAAACTAGCCTTATAGTTGAAGTGTCGCCCCGTAAGAATAGCCGTGCGGCGCCCTGCGTGCCATAAACGGTAGGCTATGCTGCCTGATGCAAGAAAATTGACACCAGTCTCGAGACCCCACCCGGCGAGTCCGTATGAATGGACATTGCGCGTGAGCGGCGTAGCCGTTGCGGGTATAAAACCAGAAACGGCGATCGATGCTATACCTAGCAGAATGTCACCACATACTAGTGCCCTGTCTTACATGTCTAGCTTACTGCAGTGAAGCATCCAGAGAATGACCTATAGGCAGTAGGTCATCAACACGAAAGTTACATTAGTGGTAAACACAAAAAGGTAGAGTACCGGCATGATACATATCTTGAAGTTGTGATCCCAGATCACGTATAGTCTCCAAATCTGTAAAGGCAAACATTCATCTGTGTTGTACTTGAGTCTGGATCACGAAACTAACTAGAAGTAGTTCTTGAGCGAATGTCTAGAAACGATAGACATCAGTCGAGCGATATCAAAGATGATGCTTCGCCACTGACATTGACGATATATACAAAGAAACCACCGACGAACAGTTCGTTGGCACCAGGATCGGCGAAGTAGTCATCAGCTGCGCTGGCTGAAGTTGCGAAAGCAGCAATCAACTCCAGCAAGCTTATGATAACATGTGCTGTAGCCAACGAAAATTGGACAACGCTCGAGAACAGGAGCATTCTAGACATAATTATGCTTTTGTTTGAGAAGATGTAGACTTCCACTCACTTTCGAGGTGCTCCGTGGTGGCCTAGCAGGACGAAAAGACAAATGCAGAATAAGACGCAGCTACAACCACCATCAGAAACAACTCCGTGTGCTATGGCAGGGCGCACTTGATACCTGGTAGAAAAGCGATTGCGTTTGGCGACACAATAGAAATTCGTCACCTACGTACCATACAAGATCGCCTCCAGCCAGATGCCGGCGATATACATATGCGCCAGAGACTCGACCATCGTGGATAGAGAGAAATGGGGGGGACTGACAGAGGGGTTTTCGAAGGGCACCCTAAATCCCATGACCGAGGCATATATAGGTAGATCATGTGTTCCATTAGGCTTGCTAGTTCGGCAATGCTTAGCATGGAACAGTATCTTAAACCAATCAATCAGTGGATGGTTCCGGACAGAATCATGGATATTTGTGGCGCTTCGGTAATTTTTTAATGGGCGTAACAATTAGATGGGAACATAGTACGCAAACACTGTCTATGACAGCGTGAATACCCACCGGCGACACGTCCGAAAGCCGTCACGGTGTGTGCTATTCCAGATAGAAAGTTGTACATCGTTATGGTTTCTCTAATTGGCTGAAAAATCCCGCGAAGAAGACGGATTGGTGTGTATACAAAGAGCTCAGCGAGCCGCTGGCAGTGGCGCCATTCATTGAGATACGTAGTTGGTACGGTCCCCGAACCCGATGATTCAACAGCAACTGGAAAAGATACAGAATTCCTGATTCGGGACTTGGACTGGCGTGTACTACAGAAGGGATGATAAACAAGTGAGGACGAAACTTGTCCAAGAATCCTGATAGTGAAAAAGCATCAGCGTCAGGGACAGTCAAGCTTCAAGCTTTAGCCGAGGAACTACTCATAATGGGTATCACGACCGTGAAAAAGTAAGCTCTGAGCGGGTACTGGCGACTAAGTGCCTCAGGAAGCTCGAAATTAGGATGTAGTGGCAACCCAGACTAGTAAGTAGACCTCAGGCTAGACTCGGATAGTTGCATGCGGGGCCCGGGTTGAGAGCGGCAACTGCCGCGACGTACGTCATACATTGGACAGTACAGTAAATACCAGGGAACTCAAGCAGCAGGTAAGTATCAAGTATCTCATCGTCGACGAGGTTTTAGCAGACGCAGACCGACTGCCGTACCTTTCTACCACCTGGCAGCGACAGAGACTAATCATTCAAAGGTACACACGTCATTCTCGCGCTGGCATCATCAAGTCACTAGTGACTGGCAAACTTGAATCTGCCTCATAGGCCTTCACGAGATTCTGGCTATGCCAAATATCTCAAGCAATTCGTAGTCGAAGCGCTGCGGGGTCGTGTTCGATGCTCTTGGTGATGAGATTCCCAGAGAAGGTTTCATCATCAAGTGATACATTAATATACGGCCGTGCGTTATTTTCTAAGAGTCGAGACATTAGAAGAATAGCACCACTGATATCAATGCTCGATATTCAATCTCCAGATTGTTATGGACAAATATTCCCGCTCCAAGTTCAACTTCACAACGTCATCAACAACAACGCGGCAAAGCTAAGTGAACATTCACTCACGTGCGCAACTTTTGTGTGAAATTCTGCCCCAATCCTCCCAGATCCTACACAAGTTATAGCTGACAGCGGTCACAGTATATCGGCGGCCACGCGCTCGTCATCGAGAAAGAAGATCAATGAGGCTTGGGGATTGTGGGACATGCAGCACTTCCGGCTTAGATTGGCTGCTTAATAATGATGTAGAAGCCATGAGCACCCTAGTAGCTTCCGCATCATTACCAAGCTGCCAGATTGTCATTTGGTGAGACAAGTGAATTTGTGTAAATGTGACAAACACGCGATGCTGAGAGTGCGAGGTAAGTCCCGATATAGATAGCAACCATGGGTGTTAGCAGAATTACTCAACAGTCGTCGCACCTATCGATTGCGATGAATACACACTAGCGAAGGCCACCACTAGCAAGTGGCTACGAAGCGAAGCCGAAGCTAGAGCGTCCAGTTGAGCGTCGCGAGGTAAACCACGTCGTTGGCACCCGTCTCGCAGGATAAGGGTCTATTGACTAGGGCCAGAGGGACGCTAGAAAGGCGGATGGCAGCGGTTTAAAACTTCTCGTCAGGGAGCTTCTCCTACCCATACTGCACCTTCGATACTACTGAGCCTTTATACTGGTCGGAGTAAATGGTCCATGCATGATGCAACCAACGTTGGGGGGTACTAAGGAAGCTTCTTTTCCCAGGTTCGGTCTTCATCAAATTCACTGAGTCATGGGACTTGCACGGCCGTTTCCGAACCCGGCTGCTAAGCGTGTCAGCTTATTTATAATTAGACCTTCACATGATCTCATGTAAATATTTAAATATTACTAATAAGAGTATAGGAGCGACTTCTGTTCACAGCTGCTGGTGTCCACAAAGATGAACGGTCACGGTGAAACCGAACCTCTAATTCCAAACGATGGGACAGTGCAGCGGGACTCTCGCACACTTCGCAACCGCGCAGTTGTCTGGTCTGTGCTGACTGCTTTTCTCATCGCTGTTGGAGTCGTCGCACTGGTTGATCCAAACTTTTTAAGCGATATTGGGCTGTCGGGAAAGTTGCCCCGGGATCCTAAGCTTGCAGCCCAGCGTGTGCTCGACATTGCTCCGGTCATCGTACGCCTCTTGGCCTAAATCTTCTGCTTATTCTTCACTGACGGAACACACAGGATGGACACATTGGTATGTTTCCTTCCGAGCATAACCTGTCTGTCATCTCACAATGCGCTTTTGAGATCTTCCTATGGTTGCTCGCTTCGTCTGGCGCAACAACGTCACCGATGTTCCTCTTGACGGTCAAATGCCCATGCATGTGGATATCCCACGTCTGAGGGAAGGGAAAGTCGGAGGATTCTTTTGGTATACAGCGGTATCCTTGCATTCTACCCTAAACTGACTTTCATCAGGTCTGTATACGTGGGTTGTGCAAAGCCTGAAGATGAGGGCGCCGATTTCTTAACGGCTAGCTGGCGCGTCCGGTCTGGATATTCCTTGTTGAGTTCAATGCATCGCGCTGACGACACAAAATGATAGAGACACCCTCGAGCAGATTGACGTGGCAAAGGGTCTGATATCGAAATATCCCAACGTAAGTTCCATAAGCCTTTATGTTGGGAATGCTGACTGATGTCTGGCGCAGGATTTTGCATACGCTGTCAGCGCAAGTGGCATTAAATCGGCAATAAGAGACCGCAAAATTGCAAGCATTCTAGGTGTTGAGGGGTGAGCGCCACGTCGTTAGCTCCGTCGATTACCCTAAATTCATATCAGTGCACATCAACTCGGGAACTCTATTGCCGTCCTCCGCCAGTACTATGAGCTTGGGGTTCGCTACGTAACTCTGACCCACACTTGTCACAACGCTTTCGCTGACTCCTGCGGTTACTTGATACCGAGCGTCCCGCGGCACTATGGTCTCAGCCCTCTTGGCTTCAGGCTCGTGGAGGAGATGAACAGACTTGGAATGCTTGTTGATCTATCTCATACTTCTGACATGACTGCAACGCAAGCCTTGCTGCATTCCAAGGCACCAGTCATCTGGTCCCATTCATCTGCCAGAGCCATTCACGATGTTGCCCGCAATGTGCCCGACGAAGTGCTTAGTCTCGTCGGTTTCGGCGAGGGGCAAAGAGATGCCGTTGTTATGGTCTGTCCAGAAAATAATAAATCTACTGATTTTAATGGTTGTACAGGTCAACTTCAATGGCCCATTTGTTGCTGCCGACGGCGAGGCCGATATTGAAGCCGTTGCTGATCACGTTGAACATATTGCCAAAGTTGCTGGAGTGAAACAGTGAGTTATGACCGATACTCGCTCGGCTGCCCATCTGAAGGTTGTTACAGCGTCGGGATTGGGAGTGACTATGATGGGATTGAAGTCACTCCGACAGGACTCGAGGACGTTTCAAAGTATCCTGCTCTGGTACGTGACATCTTCCCATCTTTAAGCGATGATCGACTGTTTTAACTTCTCAGATCGCTGAGTTGTACCAACGCGGATGGAGCAAGCAAGATCTAGCTGGGCTCACTGGGGGAAATTTCCTGCGGGTGTTCGAGGGTGCAGAGAAAGTGGCCAAAGAATTACAGGCTGCAGGAACCTTGCCAAAATATGACATATACGAGAAGAGAGAAGACTTACCCCCCAGGGATCTCTGATATATTCAGGGATGTGTGGTACGTCTATCGCATAACTATCTGGATTCCTTCCAGCTTCGGATGTAATTTGCTATGTTTATTTCTGCGCTACTGATGAGATATTATTCGAAGAAGTTCTTTATTCTTTGTTCACACGTCCAAAGAAATGTATCTTCGTATCTGTGATCTTTGACGTGGTAAGCGTAATAAGCGCAGCCTTCTTGACCAACGAGAAAACGAGCTCAGCAAGAAATGCGACAGATGTCGCGGTTGCTGATGGCGGCATGATTGTCACGAGGCTCCATCGCATGCCTCTAACGTACCCATGATCGGGTATGTTTGTAATCTCCGGGGCTTGTCGCGAACATAAGGACTGTGTAACACCAGGGTCTGTACTTCCCGTTGGATTCTCCGGGCTGGACACAGCACCTTAGATGTCATTCTGTTGTCCCGCCGTTCAGCCTCCATATGCCCCACATCAAGGAGTAGAAGCACGCCCAACAAGCAACACCTTGACCTTCACTTCTCGGGCGCTGATGGTAGCACAGTAAGCATACCCCACATCATGAGGCGGTCTGCACTGTATCTCAAGTAAGTTTTGAACATGCGCCTATGTATAGGACATTGGTAATTTGATGAGCAATTAATGGTCTGACGGGATTTCGTTTCTCAAATCGTGCAAAGACTCCCCATGTTCCAAGGCGACCGCCCCCTACGCTATCCTTGAGTGATGCTGACCTATCAAGCTGCAAGCATTGTTCTCTCTGAGCATCCTACGCATAGCTACCCATGACATTTTCGTTACTATCTGGCGTGTCCAGACTCCAGAATTGAAAGCCAACTGTCCGGAAGATATGTTGGTCATCTTGAAGTCATCTCTCGCGAATGCCCGGTACACTGCACACGTGATAGATGCCTGGGCGTCTTGATCTGGATCCTTATCATTGAGGTTGGTTGTCCAGTTCTCAAATTTCATTTACTCTGGAGCGAGCGGCTCCATTTGAACATGAAGCGAATGATTCCATCTTACTGTCTTTGTTAATGCAATATAGAGTTGCTTTGAGGTGCGCAGCAGGATGAAGGGGAAAGTTTCACGATGGCTCTCCGATAATTGAGACTAGGTCAAAGCTGGGGTGAGATTTGAATTCCATACGATGACATCTTATAAGCAGTAGTAGCTCGAGTGCCTGTAAAACATACGATAGAGAGAAAACGACAGTGTAAAGCGGTTCATGCAATGATTAACGAGGCATATAAGCGTCTGGTGTTTGACGCGTCGAGGATGGGCGGGGCACGTGACTAACGACGTCATACAACTTGGTGTTTTGTCGTCATTAGGAGCCGATGTTGGATATAAAGGCATACGCTCACCCAACACCAACCACACACCACATCTGTACACTTAACTTATACCGCTTCCTTCACAATGTACAGAGCATCCAATTTGCGTTCCAGCGTTATGCACGTTCGTGTCCCGACCGCCGTCCTTCCTGTTGTGAGTAGATTAATGTTCCATTATTCTCAAAACTAACTGCAAATCCAGTCCCGTAGGACGTACGCAACGCAGCCTCCGCCGGGTCAAGCGTCGCCCAATCCAAAAGTCAGCCCTTCCACTGATGGCAGTGGCGGACACAACAACGGTCTCATTATCGCATCCGCTGTTGCGGCCATCGGGGGAATGTACTATTTCTACAACCGCAGCCGGGGCATCAGTCTTCAAGAGCAAAAACGCAGAGATGAAGAGGATATCAAGCGAGTAGTGCGTGCAGCACAGGGCGATATCAAGCAAGTTGGGGAGGCAGGGAAGGCAAGGGCTGAAGATGGCCTTAAAGAAGCTCAGGAGAGCTATAGTGCTGCGAAGGTCGGTCGTTTGAGCATCCAAGTGGATCAAGCCGTCTGACCTGCTACGCGTAGGCCTCAGCTAAAGAGAATGTCACTGGATCCCGCCAAAAAGTAGATGAGTCTCGCTACGACCTGACCGAGCAGGCACGACAGGCAGCACATGAAGCACAGACAAAACTGAATCAGTACAAGAATGCAGCTGAGCAATCTCTAGCGGACGCTAGGAGGACATCCGAACAAAAATTTGAGGAGACGAAGGACGCTGTCATTCAACGCGCGGATGAAGCCAAGGACGCAGGCCAAAGCTGGTTTAGCTGGGGGCAGTCAAAGACAGACGAGGCGAAACGTGAAGGCATTCAGAAAGTAGCAGAGAGTGCAGAAGATGTTAAGAAGAGAGCAGAGAGACAGGGATGAGATTTGCGATGTTGAATGAATATTCGACAAGCTGTACACCTGAATTAGTATTGTAAATACATTACCCTATATTGCGTATTATTATCTCCGCGTTTCAGCTTCAACGACCTTCGATTGCAGTGAGAGATGCTGAGATCTTACAATTAGGTCGCATATACGGAGGATCGTGGAGAACAACATAAGACTCGGACATTAAGAATTTCAAATTTGACTACGTACCGGTAATTGCCGCATGTAGTCGCTGCTGTAATGCTGAGCAAGGGCTGACTCGGTTGGCGTCGGCGGTCCGCGGAATCCCTGATAGCTGATCAGTGTATATCCACCACCGTCTTTGAATTGTCTGGAGTCGTGGCTTAGATGGCCGAAATTCAGACCAAGGTTATCCTTGTAGGCTTGGGGTATGTGAATATTTCACATTGAATAGGAACTACCGATTGACTACCTATGACATCGATAAGTGGTGCTACTTGCTCAGGAAAGACTACTCTAGCGAAGCATCTGAAGAACATACTTCCCAATAGTGTCATCGTGCATCAGGATGTCGGTGAATTTCTCAAAGAATATCAACATCAACTTACCTATGACAGGATTTTGCTCCAGTAAGGCACGGTACTCAGATCGACCGTATTTTTTCGCTGAGCAGTTGCGCAGCCTGAGGAACTACTCCCCATAAAGCACGGCTACCAGGACTGGGATGCTCCAGATTGTGCAATTGACTACCCACGACTTTCCAATTTTTTGAAGCACGTGAAAGACACAGGATGCATACCAGATGATCATAGAAGCCATGATCATTTGAACAAGCACACGGATTTACCTATAGAAGCAGAGTGTCAACGCCGTCTGGCTGAGAACTTCAGAGTTATCCAAGATCAAGTCAAGGAGAGCGACCACATCAATATAGTGTGGGGCTTGGTGGACGGGTTTCTGTTGTATTGGAATCAGGTGTGTCAGCATCAATGCCTCAGTAGAATGAGGAATCAACGCGACTCCGTCATAGGAAGTCATAGAACAGCTAGATATGCGCTTCTTACTCCGTCTTCCACTCAAGACATTGGAAGGCCGAAGGAGAGCGCGGCAGGTTTACATCACAGCAAGTATGTCCTTTAGTATTTCCGCTCTATCTTCGTTCTTATTCCGCTCGGATGATTATTGACTTTTTCTCCTCCTCATAACCTCTTGTCAAAATGTCAACCATGTCCACGTTGATGTGTCTATTTTCGCTTAACTCCACGCGACTCCGTTCTTTGTCCGGTTACTCTCATGGAGCGCAATTTAATGAAGAGGGAGACGAATGGGTAGACCCTCCTGACTACTGGGAGACGATCGTGCTCCCTGCATACCTAGACGCACACCGCGAAATATTCGAGGGTGGTGATGTTGAGAATGGGGGCTTGACAAATAAGGTGGGAGGTCTTGTTTTGATCGAGCCTGAGAAAGAGGACAAAGAGATGAGCATGACGGATATTGTTGAAAGATGCTGCCAAGAGTTATATCAGCTTGTCAGGGCGGAGCAAGTAGGGAGTTAAAGCATAGACTGCGGTCTCAGCATCGGGTGTTTTTTACAGTGCACCACAGATCATGCGATAGAATTTTAGATGATTCCCCTCCACGATTGGTACAACAGATAATTTTGTTTGGACATCGGGATATAGGTTTCCGGAAGGATAAATCGTTCATGAGGGTGACCGGGAGCTTGTTTGCCGCCTTTTGCCGCCCGTGATTTCCATACCCGAAAGCTGACATAATAAGACAATCACATGCTCATTTTAATTTAAACCTTGCGCATTGTGATTGGCTAGCAATCATAGTACTTGACCCGGAACAGCTTCCCCCACCTTGCTCCCTCTCCACTACCATCTTCTCCGCACACTCCTAACAATTATCGCAATGTCACAGGTCATCGTCGTTGGAGGTGGCCTTGCTGGTCTCTCTGCAGCTCACACCCTTCTTGAGCGTGGTGCTAATGTACTACTACTTGACAAGCAAGGGTACGAAAATTCACGTTGAGGGTGAAATAGTTATTGACGGAGTTCCGCAGATTCATGGGTGGAAACTCCACCAAGGCCACTTCTGGTATCAACGGTGCTGGTACCCAGACGCAGCAGGAGGCTGGTATTCCAGATAACGCAAAGATTTTCTTCGAGGACACGAAGAAATCTGTGAGTGATCCCATGTTTGTGCCCGACTCTTATACCAATGCATTTCAGGCTCGTGAACTCGCTCGCGATGACCTTATCCGTGTGTTGACTGGCCGCTCAGGCGATGCTGTTAACTGGCTACAGGACAAATTCGGCCTGGACCTCTCAAAGGTCGCGCGGTTAGGAGGCCATAGCCAGCCTCGTACACACAGAGGGAATGCACAATTCCCTGGTATGGTATGTAGTCGCAATCTCCGTTCTTCAAGTGTAGAATTTGTACTAACCACGCATTTCTGTACTGACAGGTTATTACTTACGCACAAATGGAGCGCCTGGAGGATTTGGCAGTGAGCCAGCCAGACCGCGTGAAGATTTACAAGAAGTCCCGCGTCACGAAGCTTCTCAAAGACGAGTCTGGCGCAGTTACGGGTGTTGAGTATGTCCGCAATGGCAAGACAGAAACTGCATACGGCCCCGTCGTCCTCGCTACTGGTGGTTATGCCGCCGATTTCACTGGCGGTGACTCTCTACTGAAGAAGCACCGTCCTGAATACTATGATCTCCCGACGACGAATGGTGACCACTGCACAGGTGATGGTCAGAAGATTGCCATGGCTATTGGTGCGAGTGCGATCGACCTCGAAAAAGTGCAAGTGCACCCGACGGGTCTTGTTGACCCTAACGAGCCCGACGCGAAAGTGAAGTTCTTGGCTGCAGAGGCTCTTCGTGGAGTTGGCGGTTTACTTCTTGACAAGAACGGCGACCGTTTCGTCGATGAGCTTCAACATCGCGATTACGTCACTGGCAAGATTTGGGAGAACGGCAAGGTATTTGACTGTGATTGTTGCGTTTTGTCATTCACCCAAAGATCTTCCTTAGTATCCCATTCGCTTGATCCTTAACGGGCAGGCTTCAAGCGAGATCGAATGGCACTGCAAGCACTATGTCGGTCGTGGTCTCATGAAGCGTTTCGATTCTGGCGAGGCTCTTGCTAAAGAGATGGGCATCAAGCCTGAATATCTTAAGAAGACTTTCGACACGTATAATGCAGGTGTCAAGGCAAAGAAGGATCCATTTGGAAAGAAGGTAACGTCCATGTCTTGAGATATATCACTGTTGCTCAACTCCAGAAGTACTTCTCATCAGGAGAGTGGAGCATGAACGACTACTTCAACGTCGCAATTATGACCCCTGTACTTGCACTACACCATGGGTGGCTTGGAAATCGACCCCGAATCACGTGTCATCGGAAAGGATGGCAAACCCATCTCTGGTCTCTTCGCTTCTGGTGAGGTTGCTGGTGGTGTACACGGTGCCAACCGTCCTTGGTGGTTCGTCACTGCTTGGATGTGTTGTTTTTGGACGTGTATCTGGCGATTCGGCTGCTGCCTATCTCCTCCAGACGACTAGCGCCATCGTAGAGAAGGCAGGCGGACGTCTTGGTGCACTCGTAGGACAGTTCGAGTCGAAGCCTGCTACTTCATCTGCATCTACACAGCCTGCTGCCACGAGTGTTCCCGCCCAGTCGTCATCGCTATCAAAGGAATTCAGTGCCGCAGGATGTTGCTAAGCACAACAAGAAGGACGACATCTGGGTCATTGTTAATGGCCAGGTGCTGGACGTCACATCCGTAAGCGTAGGCCTTCCAGTCCTGCAACCTTACTGACTTTTTCGCGACACAGTTCTTGCCTGATCACCCGGGAGGCGAGAAAGCTATCATTCTCTACGCTGGTCGTGACGCGACTGAAGAGTTCAACATGCTCCATGACCCGAAGGTATGAAACACTGTCCCAATTCGTTATCCTCGGCTCATTCGCTGTCTAGGTGATTCCAAGATATGCACCGGACGCTGTCATTGGCACACTGAAGAAGTAGGGATAAATGGCGCTACGACTCCGCTCAGAAAAAGTAGAGGAACTATATCTGTCATCTTTCTTCAACATCGCATATCTCTTTTTCCCATGTCTCTACTTGGTTGCTGTAATCCAGTGTATTCTAATGTTGTGTTCTCTTCATACCATCTTTAACTGACCGATCCATGAGGCCAACACGAGGCCGTGGCTGTTGCAAAGTTTGAATACCAAATGCTGAATTGTTTCTTGACTACGCCTGTGTAACGCCTCCGCCATAACAAGCTTGGGAACATTCCTGCGGCGGCGTCTTTAAAGTTTGCGCGTACCTTCTTTTTACTATGTGCACCCCCGCCCACTCGCCACGGCGCCACTTCATATTGTTCACGTTTTATGGTCACCCAATTGGTTACTGTGTCTGGCCAATGGCCATAGCCACAAGTTGTATATGTGCCGCCTCCTAGGTTGGATCGGAAGAAATCGGATGGACACAAGTACTTGCGTGCAAGGGGTTGGCCAGGCCGCTAATACTACCAATAGCCATGTGCCGTGGACTGTATGACTGTGTTAGCGCATAGCATATATGTGTCGTCTGGCGTTCTCTGGCCCATCGGAGGGGCCACCCGAAAAATGTAAGTCTTTATTCATTATTTCCGATCCCAAAGTAGATGATACGACCCAAGTGAACAATTGAGCTGTTCCATACAGAAGGGCGGGAATGCTATCCTGCGCACCCGCACACGGTCCCTTCCATTTGAAGCCCTCATCCATCTCGTTGTATGTGCGAAGGCTGTGGCGATTCTAGCGAACTCTATTCTTCCACTTCGCCGACTGTGCAAAACGGCGTTGTCCCACCACCACCACCACCACCACCGGCGTGTGTGTACGTGTGTACCATGATCCTGTAACGAGCTGTTCTGCACGCCGCACCCCGCGGTCCCGAACTCACGCCATTATGTGGCTCAAAGCTCCTTTCTGTCAAGCGCGATATTCCCGTTACCCGTCGTCTCAAGCCCCAGGGTGATACTTGTGTGGAAATCCATGCTCTCAGCCTATCAAAGTACATGCTAGCGGACCTTCACGTCCTTCGATGACTCGGATGCTGGCTTGGCAACTACTGTCATTGGCGCATGCCCTAACACTTAATAATTCTGCATATCTGAATATGTCGGAAACTCTTTGCATTGCCTTTCTGAGTTCGCCACCAGCCATCGGTGTAAGCTGTACTCAACCAAGGTCCACGGGTCGTGATCACACTGGTCTGGCATGGAAAGGGAGATTTCGGATCTGGGAGGTATAAAATACCATGCCTGGCCCGATGGATAGTAGAAACCGATCCCAGCCCTCCATCTTCAATCCAACCGCCAGCATGCAATCCTTTAATCCAGTCGCTAGTGCCTCAACCTTCGGCTACAACGAAACTACAAGGTGATTAGTGCATGAAATTTGATCGCATCAAGATTTGAGGGTCTGACGCCGTTGCCTGTGCGATAGCCCAAATCAAGCCCCTGGAACTTCAAGTTCTAGCGCTTCGACCGCATGGTGGTCTGGACCCATTGTCAATGGTCCATCAGACCAGTACTTCCTGGGTGGCTTCACCTTTCCTCCAGAGTCTTTGGTAATGCAGTATGTTATTATCCGACATGATTATGTCGGTTCCTCATTCCCAAACTATAGGAACTCTGGATACCAGTACCATGTGAACGATAATACGGCATTCCAGAGCATTCCTGAGAACTATATGTTATCACACTCAGAGACAGCAGATGATAGATCGCTTTACTTTCCTCAAGATCTATGTTATCCTCCGCCCGAGGATGACAACCTAACCCAAGCATATGTTTGGTAGGTCTATTGGGCTGAGTCACGAGCATACTATTCATTTAGCTACTAGGAACCAGTGCGGACAGCTTCCGGGGTTCAACTCGGGCACATTCCCTCCGAGTCCATTCTTGCAAACGATGATGTCACAGTCGTCGACGGAACCATTACCTATCATGATGCCGTCTCAAGAACAATGTTCGTCTTTCTCTCCAACATTTTATTATAGCCTCTCATCGTCCTTGCAGCGGCCCTTTCTGAATGCGCATGGATTGAAGATGGTAAACGGTGTGACCATCCCATTTCTCAACGCAAACTTGGCGTGCATCTTCGCGACTTTCATGGTGTGTATGGAAAAGAGAAGAAACCCGTTGTATGCTTCTGGCAGTTTTGCGATCAGAACATGCAAAGAGGCTCTATCGTGCGGCACATCATTAGCTGCCACCTGAAAACTAAATGGACCTGCAAGAATTGTTGCAAGACGTATTCTCGCCGTGACGGCTTAAAGAAGCACGCCAAGGACTGTCAAGCCGCATAGGCTTAACCGCTAACAACCAGCATCACATCTTCTCGCTCGTTATCGTACTCTTTCTTTTGATGACTAACACCAATCATTTCCTAATGCAATGTTTCGTTGTGTATATCTTCACCGCTGCTGTATTACCACAAACTCAAACTTATGGCATGAAACATTGCTAGTATACCCATAATGTAGTAGTATATCTTGTTATCGACACTCCTTCAATGATGTATATCTTGACTCGTTTTATAATGCGACGATAAAACGTTTTTTGCTGAAACGATGACAGTTTTAAACGTGCCTTCAGGTATAAGTACTAGGATCATGATCAGGCAAATCGCAAACGAGTCAACTTTAGCAGAATTCATACTTGTATGCAATAAAAGTGGATGACTGTAACGCTGAGTACTAGTCTTAGTGCGTTCTCATGCTCAAAAATAGGAGGTGCAGTCTGACATACATAGGACAATAATTAGATTTTTTTTCATGTAAAAAAAGTTGGGAGGAACCCGACAGGGTCCCATTTGGGGCTAGTAAGTCTGACATAAGTTTCTGCTTGCTTTGGATGAATGTCCTTTTATTTCCACCAACCAGATATCACCGGCCAGGCCTAAGTACAATATAACACTTCCTAGGAAAAGCCGTCGACATATGATACCGATACTTGTATGCAAGCTCCAAATCCGCTCATGGGCCAGCGGCTTCTGAGTCATCCTCGAGAATTGAAGCGATCGATATCTCTCGACGCCGGCGGCTGTCACGGTAGGTGCTGTAAGTCAATATCATTGACGATATGAATATTGATGCATGATGCATGATGATTGACAGTCACCATAGAATGCATAGTGTAAGAATCTGGAATATTAGACCGGCGGGCTTCAACTGGCGTGACCGTGACAATGGCGAGAAAATGTTCCAATTGTCAACATCGGGAAAAAGCTCCTTCACAAAAACAAGGTAATTTCAGAATTTTTTGGAGAATTCCTCGTAATTTCAGTGAAATCCAGTGAAATCGAGTACGACCAGATTTCTCAAGCTCGGTCGTAGTTACTTCGAATTACTTCGAATTTCTTCGAATTTCTTTGAGTTTTCAGTCATTATTCCTCGAATACCATCAAATTATTTTGAATTCGGTTGAAGTCGACATACATAAACATTGATTAAAACGAGATATCACAATCAAAAGATGTGAAAAGAAAAGAAAATATCAGCAAACTGAGAAGCAACTGACTTGGTGCCATATTCATAGCTTGATTTATTCTTCGACCATTGCATCGAGATCGAGATAGTCGCAAGTGCTTGATGAGGCAGTGGACGCCGAGTTCTCGATTGCACTGGTGTTGAGTTAGTCAGAGTGCCCAACAATGAAGAATGGCGCAAGCAAGACGCACCTGACTGCCTTGTAAAGCCGTGCCATCAGTGCATGGTACTTCTTTATACTACCATTGAAGATGTGGTTGAGAGTCGCTTGGTGAGCCTTGTAAACATCGACGTGGGAGGAGGCATTGAATGATTTGACTTGCGCATTTGAAGGCGGGTTGCCGCTACTCCAATCCTTCAATATCGCATAAATCTGTGGAGAATGTTATGTAGTCAGTATACAGAGTTTGAAACAGTATCACAGCCGGTGCCTACCATAGTTGCAGTCAAACACACCATAGCCACCGGTAGCTCTGGCTCATTGTTTCCATCTAAGACAGAAACGAAATCATCATGGCACTGACTGCCAAATGAGTCCTCACCGCCATCAAAGAATGACAATCGGATGATGTCAATGGTAGCCTCATCACAAAACGGTTGGTCCCCAAGGACCTTACCCTGGGTAGTAGATGAGAATCAGAGAAATGGAGAGAGAGATAACAAAATACTAAACAGACCTTGGCATCGGTTGGAAAAATATACTTGTGACTTTTAAGAAGGTCTTCTACCTTGTCAGCGCAGCCTTTCTGAGTCCAAAATGCGATACAACAATTTGATGTGTGAGCTTCTTGAGATTAGTGCGGAAGGAGCTCATTCGTCCCTCCGGCTTGTAAGTGTATTAGTTTCATCCAAATAACCATGCAAAAAGAGTACATACGATCCCGGCCAGAGCCAGTGCGTAATCAAAGTCGTGCTTCATCCTCTTTAATATCACATATTCCTTGCGCTTCCCGGCAGCGGTATGGACCGCTTCCAGGGCCATCTTTCGCTTCTGAGTGATGTTGGGGAATGCATTGTTGAAGAGAGAGGCTTTCTTGAGTTCGAACATGGCGGCCTTCAACACATTCTGTATCCGGGTGTTTTGAGCCTTGAGGTTGATAGAGCCGTCTGCTGAGTAGACTAGATCTGTGAATATGGGCCATGTAAAAGAATGATCAGACTCAGAAGCTGACACATGAGTGACATCTGAAGCTGGCCGCGGCGGCACCACAGTCTCCACAAATTTAGGTCTCTACACAGTGTGATGTGAGACGGAATCATGGGAGTGTGCAGTGGAACACGTCACCTCAAGGTCTTGTCGTTCTTCTAGCTTGCTCTTTTTCTTCTTGTCTTTCTTCTTGTCTGGCTGGTGTTTGGTGACGGCTGTTGCTTCACGGTAATATGGCTTGGAATGACCATCAGAGGCTTTGTCAGCAACATCAACTTGAGGAACACTGGCAGTAGTGCCAGAGGCCATCCATTCAGATACATTGCTACCCGTGCGCACAAAATGGGGAATCTATGTCAAAAGGTCAATTTCAATTTTTCTGACAATGGGGTCAAGTACCTCTTTAATGAGTTCCTCCTGGGAGAGTGACTCAAAGTCATCATCCTCAGGAACTTCCATGTCGTTGTCTGATTTTTCAGATGCATCGTCACTCTCTCCGTATTCACTAACAGTGTCACTATCTTCAATTGACACCGTGGCTGATTTCAAAGAGCGCATTGATCTCTCACGACCTCGACTTTCAGCATGACTGATAACTTCATGTGCTTCTTGACCACGGTCTGCTGTTGAGTATCTCATCTGTCTCAAGTAGCAGTCTGTAACTAACCATTGTTGTGATCTAGCTTTTTTGCAGGTATCTTCCGTGCTAATTTGGCTGCAGGTGCTGATTGCAGTCCAGTTACTGTGGGTGCGCGCTTACGACTATTGGCCATTGTCTCATTCCAAACTGAAATCAGGTGCGTTTTAGTAACTGCTTTCTAACTGTGCAAGTGCTAACCTTTCCGCTCTAAGGCCTTTATCTTCGACGACCGTTGCAATGGTTCTTGATGATTGTGAGTCCCTCACAATTTTCTTTTATGTACTACTTACTATCTGTATCGCCTTGATTTTCACCACCAGATTCTTGACTCGCCTTGGCCTTTGTTTTGCTGTTCCGCTTGTGGGTGGCTATTTCTGATGGTGTTAGAGATGCTCTGGGAGGCATGCTGATGAGGGGGCAAACGGGAGGAAGGACTGAAAAAAACTGCAAGGTTCGCAGTCCGCTGCCATTTTGAAGCTTGTAAGTTTGTTTGTTGCTGCCACAGGGCCGCATGCCATCACGTTAAATTTTGCAACTAAACCTTTTCTGACCTGGATCTTCACCAACAGGGCACGTTTGGTATTGCTTTCGCTCTTGCACTTTGTGAGGGTGCGTCTGCCAGTGGTAATACTTTCACTTTTGCACTTTGTGAGGGCGTATTAGTCCACTGTCATTTGGTTGCTGTGCTGTATGTTATCACGTCAATTTTTGCAACTAAACCTTTTCTGACTTGGCTCTATCAACAGCCCACGCACACTATTTGGATACCTTTGTCTCTTTATGCATGCTGTTTGGATACCTTCATCTCTTTATCTATGCCTGTTTCTCGCCTGTTTCTCTACTGTCAGAATGAACACTTGCCCAGGCTGTGCTAAAAACTTCGAGCATACTGGATACGCTCATCACCTAGCCCAGACCATAAATCCATCATGCGCCGCTCAACTACAACTTTCTGGTCTTTTTCCAGAGTCGAGCGATAACGATTCTGATGGTCTTGCAGAGGATGGAGATACTGACAGTCTCAATGGAGGAGATGCAGAATTTACAGGAGACTACTTTGGCTACTACGATGAACAAGATCTGGAATGGCCAGACAATAACCACGATGAGCTCCCCTTGGAATCTGATGGAGAGGATGAAGAGTATCATGACACAGCGCTTGAGCATGGGTGGGAACGCCCTGCAGATCCTGTCCAGCAGGATATCAATGGTGGGGATGATTTCGAAAACTCGGACAACTCGGACACACTGTCACAATCACTCCCAGCCAAACGACAAGAAGCAGAGGCGCCCCTTGGTCACCAGCCCATTGTTGAGAAATTTCCAAGGCGCCATGCAGGTGCTCCAGTCCACCACTCCCGCACTACAGCTTTCGAGTCTTATAAGAATGTACTGCAAGGTGCAGAAAACATTTGGGCCCCCTTCGTGTCTCGCACAGATTACGAGGTCGCAAAGTGGGCAAAACTTCATAGTTCTGGCTCAACTGCTTTTTCCGAGCTGCTCGCAATTGATGGTGTGAGCTTTCTCAATTGGATCATGATGGGCCGATATTTACGATGACATTTATATAGCTTCGTGAAGCCTTGGGTCTTTCATACCAGAACTCCCGTGAACTCAATCACATTATTGACTGACAGTTACCATGTCAACGACCGCGTTTCAAACACGAAGAAATTATTGTTGCAGACGAGGCATTTGATGTTTACTCGCGCGACGTCATGGAGTGTGTCAAAGCTCTTTATTCAGATCCTGAATTCTCACCACATCTCAACTATGCTCCTGAACACCATTATGCCGATGCCGACAAGACTATCCGAATGTATCATGATATCCATACAGGCAAGTGGTGGTGGTCCACCCAGGCAAGTCGTCAGACAATCTGTTCGAGTCATATTGAACTTAATGGAACCTCTTTTAGAAAGAACTTGAAACAAAGAAACCAGGAGCAACAGTCATTCCCATTATTTTTTCGTCTGACAAGACACAGAGGTCACTATGTTTAGAAACAAATCTGCCTATCCTGTCTACATGACAATAGGCAATATTCCAAAGGAGATCCGTCGAAAACCATCTAAACGAGCGTGGATTCTGCTTGCCTATCTACCAACTTCGAAACTCAATCATATCACAAACAAGGCTGCTAGGCGTCGAACGGCAACTAATTTGTTTCACGCTTGTTTGCGCCGCATTCTTGAGCCTCTGAAAGTCCCTGGCGAGGACGGTGTTGCTATGGCCAGTGGGGATGGTGCTGTGCATCGAGGGCATCCGATTGTCGCTTGTTACTCCGCAGATTACCCAGAACAGCTGTTGACGACTGGGGTAAAGTCAGGAGAGTGCCCGAAGTGTGATGTCCCACACAAGGAGTTGGGAAGTCCACATTTCCTGGTAAACCTGCGAGACCTCAATGCAATTCTTGCCGCATTGTCCCTCGTCGACGAGGATTATGACCTGTGGAGACGAGCGTGCCAGGAGTGTGGCATTAAGCCTGTCTTCAAACCATTCTGGCTGGATCTCCCGCACACCAACATATTCCAATCCATCATGCCGGATGTGTTGCATCAGCTCTACCAGGGTATCATAAAGCACCTCACTGAGTGGATCAAGGAGGCATGTAGCGAAGCTGAGATCGACGCTCATTGTCGTAGGCTTCCCCCAAACCACAACATCCGCTTGTTTCTGAAAGGAATCAGTCACCTCTCACGTGTTAGTGGAACAGAGCATAACCAGATCTGTCGCTTCCTGCTTGGTATTGTCATTGGCATACAGTTGCCTGGAAATCTCAATAATGGTCGCCTTACTCGTGCCATTCGCGGCATCCTTGATTTCCTTTACCTTGCTCAATACCCTTCTCACACAGATCAAACTCTAGCACTGCTCAATGATGCCTTGACACGCTTTCACGATAACAAGGATATCTTCCTTGATCTTGGGATCCGATCGAATTTCAACCTCCCGAAGCTTCATTCCTTCCGTCACTATGTACATATGATCAAAATGTATGGCACGACCGACAACTACAACACCGAGTACACCGAACGCTTACATATTGACCTCACGAAGGATGCTTACAGGGCTACCAACCATAAAGACGAGTATAGTCAAATGACACTCTGGCTCGAAAGACGTGAGAAGATGTTGTGGCATGATAACTTTGTTAAGTGGCGTCTGGTTGGTGATCTTGCCTCGCAAGAAAGGCCACCACCAGACATGGATTATCGTCGGGCATTCAAGATGACGAAACACCCGACCGTCAGACGTGTTCCATTGGATCACATTGTGCAGGACTATGGCGCCACTTTTTTCACAGCAGCATTGGCTCGTTATGTGGTTGGCAGGAATCAACCTGGTTTATCTGCAGCGCAACTGGAACGAGAGGCTGCTCATATCATTCTTCCCTTTGATGCTGTGGCTACATTCCACAGGATCAAATTTCACGCAATCGATGCTCACGGGTTCCAGGACTCGAGTGTAACAGTAGATTCTGTGCATTCTCAACCATCGTGAAAGGACAAGAGAGGGCACACGATCCCCGCACGCTTTGATACTGTTTTGGTCAACGAAGGGGATGGTGGGATAACGGGCGTGAATGGTGCGTTTGCATTTGTGTGAACACGGCCGTTAATCTGACTTTATTCCAAAAAGGATACCATGTTGCGCAAGTTCGCGTCGTCTTCACGCTGACAAGTCAAGCTACAAATTTGTTATTCCCCGCTGGACCTCTAAAACCACCCGCCCACCTTGCGTATGTGGAATGGTTCACACCCTTCCAGCAACCTGAATCACACCATGGGCTGTACAAAATTTGCCGTCTGATGCGTCATGGAGAGCGTCTTGCAAGCATTATCGATGTATCGGACATCCGCAGGAGTGTTCATCTTTTTCCAAATTTCAGCGCAGTAGTACCTCGTGAATGGACGAGCAGTACCGTTCTGGAGCTCTGTCCCAGCTTCTTTGTAAACTCGTTCAGTGACCGACACACTTATTTAACTATTGTTTGAGGAATATAACGAGATTCGTTGAAATACTCTCGAAATACATGTAATTTAACAGATTCGTTGAAATACTCTCGAAATACATGTAGTTTAACAGATTCCCTGAAATTCCTTCTTTTTTGAGCCATTTTGTGAAGGAGGTTTTCTCTGATGAAGCGGATCAGTAGCGACGAAGTATTGGCGGTAGATTGAGGACGGGAACTGCACTGATCAATAGCGTTGGTGAGGCGAGGTTGTGGTGGTCGCAATAGTCTAAGGTTCGTCGGCGGTACACGATTAGTAATCTTGACAATAGTATTACTCACGATAAGTTTTGAACACTTCAAAAAACTCGCTAAAGCTTCAAAAAACTGGCTAAAGTCTTTAACAAACTGGCTAAAGTCTTCAACAAACTCGGCCAGAAAGCCATCAAGACACACGGCACACGCGGCATCAGAGCGGACTTGGAAACACTTAGTCAAATTTTAAGGCATGTATACTACACAAAAATATATAGATGTAGCTAGGTATCTAATGAACGAGATATAACAAAAAAGAAATGTGTGATAGTGAGGGAAACACGAGATTCAGAACGGAAGTATGAGAGAGTGAGAGTGCGGGCGCATGAGCTGGGAGGTAGAGTTAGGGGATTCCGTTTGATCCGGCGTTCGAACGCTGAATGTGTGACAGCGAGGGAGACACAAGCAGTGTAAGAGGGCGGGAGCATGTGCTAGGAGATAACGAACATGTTGGGGGATTCTGTTTGATCCGGCATTCGAACGCTGGACGCGTGACAGCGAGGGACACAACAGCAGTGTGAAGGGCGGGAACATGGACACAGGTGTGTGGGGCTGGCCCAGCCGGGAGATACAACAACAGCCGTATGAGTGCGCAGGTGCAGGCATGTGGGCTGGGAGACACAACAGCAGTAGCATGAGATCAGAGGGCAGGAGCACAAATGAAGAAAAATTACTCACATTTACATCCTCAACCTCCCATCCAGCGCCATTGCATACCTCCCCATTATCCACCTGTAAGATCATGCTGGAAGGGGCAAGGGGATGGTGAGATTCGAGCTACGGAATGCACGGAGGATGCAGATGCTAGCGATGACATCTGGCGCTAATCGTGGTAAAAATTTAAACTCCGATTTAAACACCGCCTAATCAGTTGGATGATGGATCTCGAGTGTACTGATAAGAAAACACCCCGTTCCAAGTCACAACCATGCCTCCTCAGTCTACACGTGAAGACCTCCTTCGTGCCATTGATCAGGCTTCATTGGCATTAGCCAACTCACAGTATTTGAATATACTCCTGGATGACCAGGGCTCCAACTCCGACTCAGACTCTAATACCGACTCGGACTTAAACTCGCTTTATACCTCGGATGAGGAAGATCTGGCTTTTGCCTCCCCATCCCCTATATCCCCCATGTCCCCTATGTCCCCTATGTCCCACCTTTTGGGCCTCAGTTCAGATATTTCCAGCCACAGTGACCAATCTGACGACTCAGATGACGCTGCTGTGCGTTACGACCGGCTCCAGCACACAATTGCTGCTCTTCGTGATGAGGTAGAGAGGGCACGTGTATTCCACAAGCCTGATGAGCCTCCTCCTCGGGCACCTCAGCTGCATATGCTGGTTCACCATGAGGAACACCGGCCTCATTTGTTTCGCCAGAAACTGCACGTCAATCCAGAAATATTTGACGATATCCTCGACCAGATCTCCGGTCATCCTATCTTCCGTAACCAGTCCAACAATCCTCAGCTCCCTGTCTCCATTCAGCTTGCTATTTTTCTAAATCGTGCAGGCCACTACGGCAATGCCATTTCACTCGAGGATGTCGCACAATGGGCGGGTGTGAGTGTTGGGTCGGTTGTCAACTGCACTAATCATGTGAGGAGCACGATTAGTTTATCTTCTTCCCAGAAGATAACTCTGAGGATACTGAGCTGGCTCGGCGCTTTGCTGAGACACGAACCTGTCCAGAGTGGAGGGGTGGCTATCTAGCCATTGATGGCTCAACTATAGATCTTTTCACCAAACCTGCTTATTTTGGTGAGACATTTTATGATAGGAAATCTAAGTATTCCCTTGGCTGTCAAGTAATGTATTTTTATTTATTTTTCATGGGCAACAATTTAATTTAATTTTAGGCAGTTATCATGCCCCATAACCTCATGATTGTAGATTATTCTCTTGGTCAACCTGGGAGTGTCCATGATGCATATGCTTTTCGATCCACTCGCCTCTATGAAGAGCATGCCAATCTTCTCCCAGATGATCACTGGGTTTGGGCAGACAGTGCATACCCATTGGAGCCATAGTGTATCCCCCCTTTCAAGAAGCCTCGCAATGGACGACTGACAAAGGACCAGAGGACATTTAATTACCACCTTTCTAAGGTATTTTTATTTTCTGCTTTTTTATTATTATTAATGAATTTAAAGATCCGTGTGCGTGTTGAGCATACATTTGCAGTCTTGAAAGGGCGGTTCCAGTCTCTCAGAGAGCTCCGCATCAATATTCAGACAGAGAAGGACTTGCAGGTTGCTGTGCATTGGATTAAGTGTTGTCTTATCCTGCACAACATGATCATCTGCTTTGAAACTCGTCGTCGCAAGCAGGATAAAGACTATGATCAGTCTCTGGAGTGGGCTCGTACCGAGGGTGAAGCTTTTGTCCCTCAAGAGATTGAGGATCCAGAGGGTAATGAAACAGTGGGTGACAGGTCATATGAAGGAACCCCTGGCCAGGCTACTCGTGCAAGGCTCATGGATCAGCTCTTTGATAGCCCTAGATCAAAAGCACAGCATAGGGAAGGATAAGCATCATGTTCACATTCACCAATGATACATGTACTACTAGTAGTACATCTTGTACAACACATGTAACATCAATCTTACAAGTACCAGCAGAAAAAAAAAGCACCATGTTCACATTCACCAATAGTACATGTACTACTAGTATTACAGCTTGTACAACATCAATCTAACAAGTAACAACAGACTACAAAAGAAATTCATAAGTCAGATAGCAACAGCAGCAAAAAAACGCGACAGCAGAAAGCAGCAATGATGATACAAAAATAAGCCGCTAGCGGACAGTATGATAGGAAGGGGAACAACAGCAGCAAACATGTCAGCTATCAGACGCAGAAGCGGTACTACCGCTCTGCGTCATCTGGTGAAATTGAATCTTCAGGCGCCACATCTCTGCCTCCTTGTCAAGCGCAAGGGCCTGGGCCTCGTGCACTCGGACATCTGTCTCGCGAAGGCGGATTTCCGCGTCCTTGGTCTCCTGCTCTCGTTGATGGCTGGCGGCAGCTTGCATGGCCTCATGTGCGCGCGCCTCACGAAGATACTCGTACTTCTTCGTCTCGCGATGGTAGTCCTTCTTCACATCAAGCTTCGCGAGGAAGCGCTCGTGCTTGAGGTTATGGCGTGATGTGACGTCCGATTGAATACTCCCAATCTCACCATTGACCCTCTCAACCTGCTCCTGAATGTCGGACTTTGCTTTCTTCTTCTTCGACCCTGTGGTCTTCGGTTGCGCTGATATTGAGGTCTGGAGGGTCGGAGACGCAGGAAAATCTGACGATGAAGTGTTGTGAGTCGTCGACGAAGGTGTCGACGAGCTACGAGTCATCCCTGGCGACGACGATGCAATAGACGAAGGTCTGCGTCGTGCGTCGTAGCCAGAGGGCCCCTGAGCGCCGAATGCTGCACGGCTGTCGTAGAAAGGAGTGGGTGACTTCTGCGTGATTGAAAAAGGGATGGGGTGGTTAGGAGGAGGAGACGGCGATGATGGGAGTTGTCGTTTTTTCCCGGCAACCTTTGGAGGGCTGTTAAGGTCATAAGTAGGGTGCGGGGCATCAGTGTCCATATCGTTGTCATCCAAGTGGTCTAGTGCATTGCCCAGAGGGGCACGGAAAGCAGCGGAATATAAGTCGTCGTCGTCGTCAAGATCAGGAACATTGCCCATAGTGGTATCGAAGTCGGCATTTGGAGGTGCCGGAGGAGCAGGAGGAGCAGGAGGAATAGGAAGAGCAGGGAAATGAGGAAAAGCAGGAGTGGGAGCAGTGGGAGGAGCAGAAGGAAAGGGAGCAGGTGAAGGAATGGGAGCAGCGGGAGCAGGCGAAGGAATGGGAGCAGTGGGAGCAGGCGAAGGAATGGGAGCAGCGGGAGCAGGCGAAGGAACGAGAGCAGTGGGAGCAGCAGGTGCTAGCAGACGAGGATCAATTTGTGAATCAGTAAATGGGCGGCTATGAGGAGGCAGAACATGAGAGGGGGGCTGAGCCCTGGTAGCACCCCTGGTATGTGCGGAGGGGCCAGCCCTGCCACGCGGACGTACTAGCGCGTACATGTCACCAGCATGGTCAACGCCAGGCTTGGACGATGTAGTTTTTGCTGCAAAGGAGGGATTTGAGTGCCAGATGGCGTCGAGTTCCTTGTACCATGGAAATTCGCGACAGACTTCTTCTACAAATTTGAATCGGTCAAACCGCTAAACAAATAAATAAGAATGCTCACCTTGTAGATTTTTAGCGGAGGCGTCATCAAGAGGGACTACACCAGCACCGGTTGCACTGAATTTAGCCTTAAGGGGCTTATATTTGTTTTTGAGACTAAGGATCTTATCAGCGCATAGTACAAAAAATATAAACATGACATACCTTGTGATACGGTTGTTGACAGAGTCACGAAATTTCTTCTGACTGTTTGCATATTCCAGCCCATATTTTGCGTGATGTTTGAAGATGACCTGAGCAATAACAGAGTAGATCTGAGACTTGTCCTTTCCCGAGGGACGAGCAGAAGAACTTGAATCCAGAGAGGGAGGTGGTTTCTTGCCATCAGAGTAGAATAAGATACGACAGTCAGGAGGGTGTTCGGTGAGCCAGGTGACCAAGACGTCAGTGAGAGTGTCATCACTCTGCCACTGAATCGTCAGCTTGGGTTTTGGATCGGGGGGAGGTGGTTGTATTTGAGATGTCGACGGCTCAGGATCCATCGCTCTAGAGCACACTGGAGGGTTGCCTCCAAGTCGTGCAGAACGACGGAGGCGTTGTTGGCGAACAGCAGGCATATTTCGAACTCAGCCATGGTGCCGAGCCTGACTTCC